CCGCACCATGCGTTAGCCCACAAAATGAGGCTGTGGCTGAAAGATGGGGCATCGTGCACTTCCCCTTCTCCTGCCCAGCACTGGAGTACAGCGTCCTCTTTTGGGACCTCTGCTTCAAGGACGAGGTGGAAAAATGGGAGAGGGTTGCCACCATGGTCCAGGGCCTAGAGTGTAGGTATGGTGTGAGAGATGTGGAGGCCGCTGGCCTTGTTCCACCCCATGAAGTGATGCCCAAAGGAGGATCAAACAGCAACCTGCAGCTGTCTAGAGAGCAGGTTACAAAGATGACAGAACCAAGCTGTTCTTGGCAGTGCTAGTGGATGTAACAAGGGGGGACAACCGCACATGGCGGATGCGGAGGTTCAGGCTGGCCATCAGGAAAACCTTCCCCATAAGATGCTCCAGAGAGGTGATGGTGGTTCCCCTTTGGAGGCTTTTTATGACTTGGCTAGATAAAGGCTGACTTAGTGGTATAATGTTGGTGGTAGTTCTGCTTTGACGGGAGATTGGACTAGGTCACCTCCAGCAGTCCCATGCAACCAACATTTCTGTGATTCTGTGGTCCTTTTCCCCAGAGCAAGGGAGAAGCACGTCCCAAACCATCAGTCAGCTCACGCGGTCAGAGAGAGAGAGCAAGTCTGCCAGATCCGGGTTCCTGAGGGCTGGTCCCAGCTGTGCTCTTACTCATGAGTGTGCATTAGGCTATGCCGGGGTTCAGAAACAAGTTTGCAACAAAACCTGTCAGCCTTAGCTAGTCAGTGTCTTAAAGGAAGCTGGCAGAGCCAAATGCCTTGTTGGCTTGACCGGAGGGTGTTTTTCACTAGGATGAAACAAAAATAGGACTGTCATGTGTGTGACCGCTTACATGCTGCTGGATGGCATGGTGCAGGTGAGGCTGAGGTCCATCTCCCCAGCTCAGTGCAGCAGAAGGTCCCTTCTAGGCAAGCCTGAGGGAGCTGCAAGAGTCTTTGGTCTTCAAAACTCATCTTCCAGCAAGATGTCACCTTATTTTCAAGTCCAGTGGTCACAAATGGCTCGTCAACTTTTACTCTGCCTTAGCAAAGCTGTCTGTTGGAGAACAATCTCCACTTTGTTCTTTATGTGTGTATGTATAATTTGCATTTGGTTATTCTCCTGCATTGGAATTAGTCACATGAAAATCATAGGATTAGCTTTTTCTTGTGAAAATTCTCCTCTGAAGAAACCCTTTCCTGGCTGTCCTCAGAAAACCACCCCAGCCTTTCCACGGTCTCAAAACTGACACAGCCAGTCCTCTCCCTACTTTGCAGCTCCTTTCCTTCTTGGCCACAGAGGTGCTCAGAATAACACCGGAAATCTCACTTCACAGTTGCTTGCATGACGGCAAGCAACAGAAACCTCCCAAAAGAACATTTTTTCCCAAGCCAACTTTTGCACGTTTGCAAAAAGGATGGGGCTGCAGAGCCAACAGACCTGCTCCATCTCTGATTTCTTTGATACTAAGACCATATGGGCCACCGAGCTGGTCCCCGCTCCCTGGAGCTTTTGTTTGTGGATATTGCATGTTCCTTTAAAAAAAACCCCAAAAAACAAAACCCCCATGAGTTCACTAAGTGAAACAAGCAGGTCAGGTAGTGCTGCATATGTTGCTAGTAAAATTGTAATCGTGAAAGTTGGCAAGAGCCAAGCAGCCTTTGTATTAATTCTCTGGAGCTTCAGGTAGAGCCTAATGTAATTACTTGCTCTACTTTGTAGCATTTTAAGAGAAAAGTGTGTGTTTTAAAACGTTATATTTCCAAATAAAACAGTCAGGTCTGGAGCAGACAAAGTGCCCAATTCTGGTGCCTCTGAAGTCAATAGCAAAATTCCTGTTGACTTAAATCAGAGCAGGATTATGTCCCAAATCTAAGAAACAACAGCAAACGGAGCTGTGCTCTTTTTAAATTCATTGTCCAGGCTACCAGATTGTAACTAGTATTGCTCTCTGATTCAGGTTTCCCTACTTTTTTCTCCACCTGAAACTCCAGATGGTTCGTCTTTCCTCAGCTCCACTGTCTGGGTCTCAATATTGGAGTTGACTTTATTTTTTATGTGAAGACACCTGCTTTGCAGACATCTAAGTGTAGGTGGGTGAATCCAGCGATCTTGGACCCCACCCACACAAACACAATGCTTTCACTCAAGAAACATTCATGTTGTACTTTTATATTTCAAAATATCCACAGTATGTCAAAATGTCATAAATTTACTTTTCCTGTATAGACTCAAAAGTCCTAAATGCTGAGGCTGTTTTGGTCTCTGCAAGTAGAAGAATTTAAAGTATTTGGGTAATTTCTGGGAGTAGCTTTTGTTTCTTTCTGATGGTTTATTTTTGCCATCGATTAGGGCGTTAACTAAGATTAATTTCCTTCTTAAAGGCAAGTGTGTGATCCTTAAAACCTTTAATTAATTGAATTCTATCAATCAGTGTTGTTTGCTAACTCTTATCAAAAGCCAGGCAAGGCTGGAATAGATCTTACTGGCAGCCCTTTCCCAACATGCCATTGATAATATTAGGAAAGCCTGACCATTTGATCCCCAAATTAAAAAAGAATATGGATCTGATTGCTTTTATTTCTTGGATTTGGTATGTAATCTATAGAGACAGCACTTAAAGGAACTCCTTGGTAATTTGGATGTCCAGAATCACCTCACTATACATATTTTCTCTAACCAGCTTATCATTTCCATGTTTCTTGAGAGTAGCTGCTTTCTGGCTAAAATGAGTCTTCCCGATTTCCATTTAACACCTGAGTAACAAAAATGAGGATCTGGGCCATCTTCTCGTCTCTGCCTTGCTGCGATCTCGCCACACTGGTTGTCAACAGAGCAGTCAGAAGTGATACAAAGCTGAAACGCATCTAAATCCTTGCTTGTTCCTTAAGAAGTAGTCACCAGACCTCCCTCTATATCAAATGGTACGTGAAGGAGCCTGCGATGGCCATCTGGTGTGGGACAGAGCCTTGTATCGCTTTGCAGTTCACCTTCTCCTATGGCTCCTACGAGCATAGAAGCCTTTTCCAGCACCTTGGCTCGCCCTGTTATTTCTGTTCAAGTGTTTATGGTCTCTAATCAGCACCTAACTTGCCTCTACTGGAGTTTGTCCCATACTTACAGTGGGTTTTTCATTCAGGCTTCTCCTGGCCTGCTTTCAATCACTGGGGTCACGTGCCGTCGGAGGGAGATGAAAAGCAGATTTTATTAAATGGACATAAAACACAGTAAAGTTGCACTGGCTTTTGATAATTTCACTCCGATGAACCACAGTGTTTATTATTGAGGTTTTCTTATTGATTCTCTGCAGCCTCTGTAGGAGATTTCCGTACAAGGGGAGGAAAGCGTGGTCACAGAATTACAGAATGGTCAGGGTCGGAAGGGACCTTTGGAGATCATCTAGTCCAACCCCCCAGCCACAGCAGGGTCACCTATAGCAGGTTGCACAGGACAGCGTCCAGGTGGGTTTGGAATGTCTCCAGAGTCAGAGACTCCACCAACTCTCTGAGCAGCTTCTTCCAGTGCTCTGCCACCCTCAAAGTAAAGAAGTTCCTCCTCATGTTTAGATGGAACTTCCTATGTTCAAGTTTGTGCCCGTTACCTCTTGTCCTATCACTGGGCACCACTGAAAAAAGACTGTTTCCATCCCCCTGGCACCCTCCCTTTGAGTATCTGTAAGCATTGATAAGATCCCCCTCAGTCTTGTTTTCTCCAGACTAAAAAGACCCAAGTCCCTCAGCCTTTCCTTGTAAGAAAGATGCTCCAGTCCCCTTATCATCTCAGTAGCCCTTTGCTGGACCCTCTCCAGCAGTTCCCTGTCCTTCTTGAACTGGGAAGCCTAGAACTGGACACTGGCCCCGCTCTTGAGGTAGTACCCTCTCCAGTGAGACTAGTGGGACCTTCACCTCCCTTGGCTTTATGTTCCCCATCTGCCAAGAAGATGTCCTCTGCGCCTTGGGAAAGGTGTCAGTGTTGACTCTGGTTGTGATGTCTGGGGCTCCCCCACACCATGTGGGGCCTAACGCCAGATAACAACTTTAAATGCCATATCACCCATGGGTGTCCTCCAGAGATCAGGGTCCTGCTGTCCTCGGGGTGTTGTGCTTCCTCCTGTTGGCAACTTTCCTCCCTCCTCCTCCCAGCCCCTACAACCTGACCTTGTGTAACGAGGACTATCTCTGACAAGAAATTAAACCGGAGCACGTCAGCAGCGCCTTTTTGTTTACCAGGAAGCAATATTCACTCCCTCACCTCCTGCCACGGCCCAGGAGGTGCTGAGCAGCTGGATGGCTGCAGAGGTGCCTGGGGCCGCCTGTGCAAACACAGGCTGTCACGATGTGCCCACAAAGCTCGTGAACACGCAGATAATGCTTTGGGGGACACGGAGACACCTGCTGGCCCCCAGGGTTCAGACTGGGAGAACGGTGGGACCTAAAGGTCCAGAAATACCCTGTACAGAGGCATCCTCCTGGCCAAGCCTGCTGCGCTGCCCGGCCCTGGACCTTCTTCTCCATCTCCTCCTGTAAGCCCTGGCAGCTGAGAGAGTGGCTGGAAACCAGAAAGCTCGGTGACTACCTGGTCCTGCAGGTGCATTAAACTTTCCCTGGTGAAAGCGAGACTCATTTGTGAAATAAAACAGTCAGGGCCTTTGATGTCTGATAAATGCTTCAGAGGGGAAGGATTTGCCTGTCCTGAACCAGCCCACCAGCGTTATGGTGTCAACATGGGGTGACAGCATTGAGGCAAAGCAGTGCTGCCAAGCATTTTCAGCACAAAACCCCCACATTTTTTCCATTTTTCTATAGGCAATTTCACAGGAAGAGCTCCTGAGGGCGACCTCCTCACAGCCCCGCAGCAGCTCGTTTTCATGGGGAAAGGTGTTTCAGGTGCCAGCCTTGGCCACGCCACGCCGACCGGGTTTTGCTCCCTGGCACCATACACCCATTGCCTTCCACCAGCCAAAAACCCACACCCCCCGTCCTCCTCACCGTGTGGCATTCCCCAGTCTGATGCGGGGCTTTAGGTCCAGGTCCGCCCCAAAAAGCGGCGTCACGAGAGCAGCAGCTCAGCAGAGGGTGCCGGCGTGGAAAGCGAGAGTGGGTTTGCTCGATGTCGGTGGTGATCGCTACCGGCATTTCCGCCAGCTAAATATGGGGGTAGCCACTAAAAACAAATCCTGTTCTCGGTTTCACCACTGAAATCGAGGGTATTTTGTCTGGGAGCGATAGCTGCCGGCATCGGCTCTGAATAATTTCACTCTAACAACAAGTGAAGATGTGCGATAGTCCGAGGTTTGAGAGCATGAGAGTTAGCCCAAGGTTTTTTTTCTCAGTTTTGCTTTGAGGTAAGCGGGCGATTCAAAGCGAAACCTGGCTAAAACCATGATGGTTACTTACTTTTAAATTTTACCCTACGCAAAACTGTTTGAGGCATGTAAATGAGAGCCTTCCATCCCCAAAGAGGCTGAGGCCTGAACTTCGGGTATGAGTGAAAGCATCCAACGAAGGAGATGGGGGAAGCTCTGGGAGAAAGATAAACAACTGCCTGATTGTAAGTATTTCCCTTGGGAAAATTTAGCAACTCTCTTACTTACTCATCTGTCGTGGTTTAACCCCAGCCGGCAACTAGAACCATGCAGCTGGTCTGGCTGGGGTTAAACCATGACAACATCCTTAGTTGGTGCACAGTAAGGAGCAAAGATTTAAAAGCAAAGATTTTGATGCGGTGGTTCCTGTAAAGTCCCACCATGTCCAAGACCTCATTTCTGCCTCCCCCTTTGCTGTCGAGTGGAGGTAAGGAAATACGAAGATGCGTTTGATGGAGGTGTCAGGGTGGGGGACACTTGGCACTGAAGCTTTAGGGAAAAAAATCAGCTTCCAAGAGCTGTGGCAGGGAAGGTTTTGCATAGGACGCTGTGGAAGGTGTCCTTCAAAAGCCACCTTGAGTTTCAAAAGTACCAAAAAACAGCCTGTTTTCCATCTGAATGCTTTTAAATTCTCTAAGTAAGTAAGTAGAATTAGATTTTATTAAAATATTTGATTATTATACTAACGACTAATAGTATATTGAGTACAGCAAAGTGACGCAACAAGTCCTCCTGCTCAAAGCACAAACCTTTGATTATTTTTTTTTTCCCCTCCCTCCTTTATGTTCAGAAGTTATTTTAACACCGTCCTCCTCAATAAACCTTTCCTGGAGCGTTTCCAAAGGGTGGACATAGGGGCTTACCTCTAGTCCCAGCCCTGGCAGGTTCCCCCGCTGCCCGTGTTTCCTCTGCCGGTGTCGGTGTCGCCGCTGCCGGTACCTCGTTGAGACGGTGACCTCTAGTGGCACCGGGCAGCCGGCTCTCCCCACCGAGCCGCTCCGTTTCCAGGCACGAACCCCAAAAGCTGTCGGTGGCAGCTGCCGTTCGCCTCTGCGGGTTCAGAAAACAAGCATCGAAGGAAGATGATGGGCTCCGGGGTCTCGACTTTTCACACCTGGGTGCGCAGACACAAGTTACCTGTAGTTTGTGATAGGTGTTTTGTGCGTGTATTTTTTCCCCTATCTTTCCGATTTTAAAAAATCTAATTCTTTGAGTGAGTGGCAATTAATGCGATACTTAATCACTGCTAGTGCTTAATCCCAAGCTGACATCTCTCGTGCGTATGGGACGGTAAGCCTGCTTCCAAAGGATGCTGAGGAGCAGCAGATTTCACCTCTAGGTATCCTAAAAATAACATCTGAGGATTGAAATGTATTTTTGCTGTCTCTGCCTCTTCCTAATTCCTGGCTGCAAATAAACATTTCTTTGGCATCCCTGACTATGAAGAGGACGTGGGTTGGGGCCCAGCTCCCCTGTCCCCCTCTGTGCCCCATCCCTGCTCCAGATGGGCTTAGAAGGAGAAGGAAGTCATCTCCTTCTCCTACACTTCTACCCGCTTCCTTCCAGCACCCCACTGGCCCTCTCACACAAGACCTGATCCCTGGGCAAAAACAAGTCCTTTGGCCAACATGGGCTGATGTACTTGGCCTCATCAGCCCATCTCCTGTATGGGCATCCTCGGGTGTGGAGCCATCCCTGGTGTGTACCAGCCCCATGTGCCCCATCCCATCAACATCTTCCCCACAGGGCAAGGAGGCCTCCTGCTGCCTGGGACAGCTCTCTGTTACCTCAGCAGCCCCTGTGGTCCAAGGGTCAATGGCTGCTGCCTGGAGAAGTGCTTCAGCTGGCCTTCACCACGCTTGATCTGCGCCAAGCAGGGCCACACCAACTTGTTTCAAACCCACAGGTGATGTAGGATGGCCTTTTTTTCCCCCTTACAAAAATTGCTTTTCTTCCCTTAAATGTTTTTTTTTTTTTCCACTAGCTCCTCATCCCTCCTTGCCTACGCAGGGCAAGCTCTGTCACGGGCCTTGTAGAAGGCTTTGCAATTGGTGTGCAGCAGATCATCCAGAGATGAGAGCAACCACTTCCTCCCTCCCTCCACCACCCCTGTGAATCTGCACCAGGACCTGTTGACAGCTCTACGCCACCCTCCTCAGCTCAAGCCTAGAGAAATGCCCGCCGTCAGAAACGCAAAAGTCGCTCAACACTTCTCTGCTGCACATTGCATGCACTGGTGTCACCTCAAGGTGTCTTTCCCCCCATAGACACTGGAGCATCTAATAATGGGACTAGCATCATTGTGGCTTTGGTAGGTCCGTGGTCCCTTCCCTCTCCTCCTGAAAGCCCTGGAGGTGCTAACATGCCACCCCAGCTGTGCCAGGGCTTGTCCCTGGCATCGCCCTGCTCAGGGCTGAGCTCCGAGGCCCCACAGATACCCTGCACCCTCAGGAGAGCAAAGAAAGTTCAACACTGTCTGCAAATGGGGGGTTGCACCTTGGCATGCTCCCTTCCTCCAGCAGGGATGTCTCACCCTGCTGTGGCATTGCCCTGTGCCACCCAGCTCTTCTCTGGCGAGCAGCACATCACACCAGGCAGCACAGAGGCACATTAGCAAATGTTTCCTTGGAGGAAACGATCTTTAAGCAAACTTTCAGATGCGTCTAAGGACATGGTTTGCCGCCTCTTGAGCTGGGTGGCTCGGGGGATGCCCATTTGACTCCCCCTGCAGACCAGGTCTCCGCTTGCCTTGTGGAGAATGTGATCTCTCTGCTCAGGGATATTTCGTTCCACAAAAGCCCACACCCCATGCATTAATTTGAATCTAATTAGCATTTGCTCAGTGGACATTACTCAAGGGCCCCAGTGCGGTACCTTTCTTTTACCTCTCAGACTGGTTTCTGATGAAAAACTGGGTCATCCAAGTGGTAAGTACATTTTCCCTGTTGAGCTTAGTACATTTTACAAGACCTTCTTCATGGAATCACAGAATGGTTGGGAGGGACCTTTGGCAACCCCCCTGCCAAATCAGGTTTGCGTAGAGCAGGTTGGACAGGAGCGCACGCAGACGAGGTTTGAATGTCTCCAGGGAAGGAGACTCCACAACCTCTCTGGGCAGCCTGTTCCAGTGCTCTGTCACCCTCAAAGTAAAGAAGTTTTTCCTCATGTTCAGATGGAATTTCCTGTGTTCCAGTTTGTTCCTGTTGCCCCTTGTCCTGTCGCTGGGCACTGCTGAAAAAAGTCTGGTCCCATCCTCTTGACACCCACCCTTTAGATATTTATAAGCATAGGTTAGATCCCTTCTCGGTCTTCTCTTCTCCAGGATAAAGAGACCCAGGTGTCTCAGCCTTTCCTCATCTTCTTTCCCAAGAGCCCCATGTGATGGTGCACAACCCCTTGGACCCAGCCAGCTGTGGGGACTGCACCCACATGTGTGCTCTACCTTGAAGAGTAGAATGAAGATGTTCACATCTCAAGAAGAAAACGTGTTCCTGAGCATAAAACCACCTTCACTCTCATCCTCACCCCAGTCTGCACCCACTTACAAACATTGATCTCATTATCAACACACATCACACCAAAAAAGGTGTTTATAGTTTTTTAACTCACAGATCAGCCATGCAAAACAAGTATTGGGAACAATGCCCATGAAGTAAGAACCATGCAAGCACTGAAATTAAGAATGATTTGGGTGCAGGAGCTTGACCCAGTGGCATGAAACCAGCAGGCGAATGCCCAGCCGTGTTGGTGGGCTGCCGAGGGTTTGCTGGGTCACCCGTGCATACAGAGCCTGGAAGCGAAACACAGCTCTGATGGGCGACACGTGGCGAGGTGGTGGGAGCTGGGTGGTGGGAAGCGGTGGGAGGCTCCTGCCGTGAGCCCTGGGCACCTTCGGGAGGGTGGTGGGACCAGCCACCCATGGGCATCCCACTGGTGGGGGTGGCTGGGGTGGCACAGCTGTGACTGGACCTTTTGTTCCCTGTTATAAGAAAGAGCTGAAGGCAGAAACTGCTTTTTCACAGCGAGAGGGATTCGGCCCGCCAGCCGTAGCCAGGCTATTAATTTGTGAACCAAGTGTGGGTGGGGAGACGGTGTAAATCCTTATCTACACCTTCTGAGGAGTATCAAAGTCTAGCTATTGAAACTACACTGTCTTCATTTCTAGTAAATACTAATTTTACTCTTCTTAGGAGCTGGCATTTAAATCAGATTAGGACAATGACTCTATTGTCCCACACTACTTGAATGCATTTTTTTAAAAAAACCCAAAACCCAATCTAATAAGGCCATGACAAACAAGCCATTTCATGTGAAATTGTGTATTTAGTAATCAATGGTCAAGGCCAACTGAAGTTATCAGATGACTACAACACTGGAGAGACGGGAAATTACTGGCCTCCCTCAAATTTCCCTCAGCTCTTGAAAAAAAAAAAAAACCCTTTGTTGCTTATCCTTTTAGAAATATTCTTCGTTATTCCCGTTTTCTATCAGCCAAGCTTTGACTCATTCTGACACTGACCATTTGCAACCAGAGCGACCACGTCTCCTCCCAAACAGGGACATTCACGTGGTTATAGGGAGCCGGCAATTAAAGACACATTTAGCAAGAGAGCTGAATTCCTGTTTGCTTGAGGGTCATCGGTGGTAGATGACGCGATACTCACGTGGGCTGTATCTGGTGGTACTAAAGGACCAGCAAGGTGCTGCAATAGCTGTGTAAGGATGGAGACCTGTTCCTGCATTTGAAAATGATTGTGAAGTTACTGGGATTTTAGACAACTTCGAAGTCAGACTTTGATCAGGGGGGTGCGAAGAACAGAAACGCTTCTCTCTGACTGCACGTTTCGAGATTACACATTTTAACAGCTCTGAACTGCTTGGGTTGCTGCAGACAATTAACACTGGCAGAGAGCCAAACCAAAAAAAAAAAAAAAAAAAAAATCAGAAACTCGCTTCCACAACACGTTAAGCCGCATGGTATTTTGTCGCAAGCAAAATACTCACTGAATAACAAATTCATGATTTTAACAGCTTCTAAAAGTTTCCAGCAAGGCTCACAGGCAACTTTTAAGATGCCTGGCTCCGTGATGCTAAACCGTACAACTGCAGTGTGTGTGAGGAAGTAATCCAGACCACCTCTT